TTAGTATTTTTTGCCTAGTTTTTTTTTTCTTAATACCAGTTCCTTTCCCCATTGCACTGCTGGGTTTTTGGCAGGCTAAGAGGGAACAAAGAATTCAGGTCACCAGGCACTGAAGGAAGAAAAGCGGGGGCAAAAACGCTTGTGTTTTGTTTCTTCTGGATCAGAGGAGACACTTCCTTTAATCTCTTCTGAGAGAGAGAAAGGACAGAATAATGCCAGTCCACTTTCTTAAGGCATTGCCTAATCCTCCCTGTGTTGGCTAAAGAAGCAAAGCACATAAAAGCGTGTTTTTGAGGGGAGAGGGTAGCTGAATAGGCATTTACAATTGCTCTTTTTTTTTTTTTTAAACGACAATCATCTGCCAAGCATTCTTTGTGGTATTTAGGGAAGGGCACCAAATTCCTTTAGAGCGCCATTGTAACAACTCCATCTGTTGGCAGAAGTTGGGAACATCCCAGCTGCTGATGTTTGGTGCAAAAGACTTGTTCTGACATTTAACAGCAGTGTGGGTTGCCGGTTCTGTTGTATCTATGGCAACTAGCTGCCACTCGGGGGATGTATAAATTCCACTGTTAATATCCAGGCAGTGATGGGGAATTTTACGAGAGAGAGATTTCTGAGACACTCGGACTCTTCTGGCTTTCATTGGAAATCTGCAGATTCTTTGCTGTTCAGATGATCTGTGCGCCGAGCTGTTAAAATGTATGGCTAATTGTCCTAAAGCCAAAGGAACATACAGGAAGTGAGCCTAGAAGGGTTTATATGGCTGTCTGTGTGTTACCCTAACGGAGGGAATATGTGCAGCAGTAGCTGTAAGCAAATGTAGACAATGAGTAAGTGCTGGAGATGAGCATATATGTATGTGTGCAGGTGTAAACAAGCAGGTCTCTGACACCTAGGTATCATCATCTGCCAAATATGAACCCCCCCCAACTTCAAAGCATGGATGCCTTAGAGCTCCAGTGCAATAGTTAAAAGAATATTTTAACATGGGCAAAATAACATATTTTCCACTACTCACAAGGGGCTGAAAGAAAAATTCAGCCCAAGGCAGACATCTGGCATGGAAAATTTCAGCACAAACAGTTGTTTAAGTTTGGCAGAGTTTTATAAACAACGGCAAAGAGTTTTTTGATGGGAGCTGTTGGGCAACTTAAGTTTAGGTGGCATTACCAACTCTGCCTGTAACACAAACAATTCCTAGCCTGCTTTTGGCAGACCAGTGGAATGGAGTTGCAATTGTAGATGGATTGGATATAGTTAATACAAATATCAGAGCGAATTGTTGCATCTAACATTTGCAACCATAACATTTTTGGCAGCTCACTTTTTTATCATGGGGAACAGAGAGAAGTCAAATATAAGCCTTAAGAAGGTCAGGGTCCTACTCTATAAATTGTATACATTTGCTATATTATGTCCAGCATCCCATCCCCCTCTCCAGAACAGTATTCTCCTTCTGGTGAGGCCTCTCACACCTGGAGACTTACTAACCTAGTCCCTTCTTCAGGAAATGCAGTCTCCTTTTCATTATGCTAAGAAAAGTTGGAACAGTCCCTCCACCGACTATTCAGTGCCTTTGGCCAACCACGTTAGGCTTTTCTTCCCTATGATGTGTCTACTCAATGTCTTGAATAGAAATCAATGAACACTGGTAAGGTGGTTCCCAAAGCTGGAAGGAAATTGATCTAGATTAAAAGTGAATTGTGCTCTGATATTGTTCATGTCTTGATTTTTCAGGAAGAGTGCAGTAGAAATGGAACTAGCCAAGTGTAAGATTGACATGATGTCTCTGAACAGTGAGCTGCTGGATGCCATTCAGCAGAAAGTGAACCTCTCGCAGCAGCTTGAGGCATGGCAGGTAGGTGATGCAAAGCATCAGTTCAAAGTGTTGGTGGACAGCACCTACATATCTGGACTCGGGGGGATATAATGGCTGAGGAAGAGGGTTCCATAAGCTGACATCCTCTGTGCTCGTGGTACAGCCCAAATCTGGAACACTTGGAAGCCAAGAGTTAATTCTTTCTCAGAAGCAGTACTACTGGTATGAAAGGCTCAAGCTGCAGACCTACCTGCAGCCTCTCAGTTAATGTAAAGAAAGTGGTCTCTGATCTTGGATCCTGGCAGCTAGTGATTGTTACAGTAGACTGATTTGAATTAATTATGCAGAACCACCTGTTTAAATATGAAACTAGGGAAACTATAGGGACTAAATCTAATTTCACAGTTACACATTGCCATGGTGACAGAGATGCTCCTCCTCAAAACTCAGCTCCATCTTTCCACCCACTCTGATTGGCTCAGTCTCTGGCAAGTGAATGTAGAAAAATATGGCTGTGCAAAGACCAAGATTATTTCACCCAGGTTTCCTACATCTGTAGATCAGTAATACTGCCCGTCTCAGTGGCACACACTCCTGTCTGAACAGCATGCCAATTATTTGAGGTCATTTACATGTCCCAAGTCTAATTATTTTCCAAAAACTCAGACTGAAATCCCTGTATCTCCATTTTATACAGTGAACAGACTTGCCAGTGGCAAGAAAGCTCTTAATGTCCATTTGAAGATACTCATATAAAAGGATCTTTTTTGCTTTTTTAAAATTTTTAATAAAAAAATCTAGCTAGATGGAAAAGTGAGAACTTGATTCCACTCCAAAATTGGGGTAAAATGTTTGACTTAGTTTCATCCACCTTGTGGGGTCAGTGGTACCACAGTCATGTAATGCCGGAGACCATGGATTTATAAGTTACAAATTTGGACAAATGGCATAGAAGAAGGGCTTTGTAAAGAAAGAGACAAACAGATGGAAAGAGAGAACAAAGAAAAAGGCAGAGAGAGAGACTGGAAAAGAAAGATCTCTGGCGTGTAGCTTCTTACAGAATTATGTAAGAAGCTGGGTGCACTGACTATCCAACCAGACCAGTAGAAATCTCTCCCATACAACCTTTGTCCTGTTTCAACTCCACTGTGTTTTCGTTTCTCTCTTTCTCCTGCTTACAGTTTGCTTCCTCAGGGCTTTTTACTATCTGGCTCCTTTGGTTTCTGATCTAGTGGCCTTTCTCAGTTCCTGTACCAACAGCTTTAGTCGTACACCCCTCCTGCCTTTGAGGTGAGCTCCCACCCTCTATTTCATCTGCCTCATTCACTCTTCTGTCACATCCAAAACCAATGTTTCATTCTTTCACAGAATGAGTGTGTCCAACAAAATACACTAGCCTCTGTTCCATTCACTACTTCCATTACCTCTTCCATCATCTGTGATCATATTGATGCAGTGAAAGATGCCAGTTTCGAATTCACTGCCTGTCTCTGGTAGCTGTGATGTTTTAACATCTGATTTCCTCTCCAAACCTTAACACATAAACCTGAAGATCCACTGAAGTTTGTGGGAATCTTATTAACTTTAACAGGAGCCAGACTAGCTCTGTAACGAGTAATATTTGATCTTCAGTTATGCTTGTGCAGTCAAGTGACTTCACTGACATTGAAATGTTGCAGAGGAGAAATAACAGCAGATGTCTTATGGACTTTGCACAAATCTTATTATTCAGTTGGTAGCTGACCTGTTCCTTTCCATGGGTATGAACAGAAAGATGTGGTTTTTACATTTACAATAACGTTTATGCAGGCTGGTTAAGGAATAAATTGCTTCAAGAAATTGTATTTTCTGAATAGTATGTTGTTTTTGTGCCCAATCCTGAACTCCTGCTTTCAAAACTTCACTAGGAGTTTGATGTAAGGACAGCAGACTTGAACGCTTCCAGCATGGTTTTTGCCAATTTTCTTTTAGAAAGTAATAGAGGGGATAATTACCATATACGGTCATCAAAATTAAACTCCACAGAGCTAAATTCAAGCCATTCTATTGTTTTCAGGAGTGTTACACAAGGCATTAATTTCCCCAACAAAATTGAATTAATATTATTCAATAATAATGGGCCAGCACAAAAGAGAGCCTTTTGAACATAATTTAAAAAAACAAGACCTTATTTAATTGTAAGAATTTTAGAGTTAAAGCAAAGCAAAATGACTTTAGCTCATAAAGCCAAATTATGCTCTTAAATGTAAAGCCAGAAAACTGTTCTCCTTTCTCCAATTTAGGATAAATAAGAATTGTTTTCCATACAGCTGCAATACTTAAGAATTCTGCATCTAGTTGAAAAGCCAGTCCAAAGTGACTGCCTCTCAAAATGGGGGAAACTTGTTTTTTTCTTTGTTTGCTTGTTTCCTCTGGACTGAAAACAAATAATATACCCACTAATTGCTTATATGCAATTCAGCAAATAAATAAAAAATCTGTCACTTAGCTAGTGAGAATTCCTGTTCTATGCATGTTACCGGGAACTCTTTTCTAGATGGGATAATATGGAGTAGATGTTTTTGTTCAGTGGTGAGGAATACCAGGCTGATAGCCTTTACTGCTGAAATTTAACTGCTCACAAGCTGGGATAGTGCACGCTCTGTGAGACTGTCCTGACAGTCCATCTTAACCTTGCCTTAGGAGGGCAACCTCAGTAGTTGGGAAGACAGTTCAGTCTCCATAATGCATTCAGTCCTCCTAACTTCTGATGATAGGAATATTTCTAAAGTTTAGAGGAAAAACTGGATTTCGTAGCAGTCTTTTCAAGGTGACCCCAGCTCTGTTAAAGATTGTGAGGGGAGAATCAATTGTATAGCCTTGTAAACTTGTGCAACATGCATAAAAAGAACAAACACCTGTGTGATTGGAAACTTCAGATTTGGTAGCATCCCACATTAACTCTGCACATGTGATTAGATAGTTACCTACATTGGCCTGAAGTCAGGTGGAAAGCAGAGCAGGGTGGCTAGTCAGCATAAGCCTTCAAAAGCTTGGGTCTCTCTGAACCAGTTAGTCTCTAAGGTGCCACCCTGCCCTGTATTCTTTACACATGTGTGTGTCAATGAGGGAGAAGGCAATGAGGAATCCAGCCTGGGGCATCATATTATAAATCCTTGCAGCTGCCTGTTGAAAATGCACTCAGTGTAATTAGCATGCCTAGAAAAGTTATTGGCATGCAGGTTGCATTTTTTCATTTGTAGTCTTACCCTTTAACCGATTACAACAAAGCAGGTATCAAACCCTGCAGCTAGGGCTGTACAGCTATCCCTAGGCTCTACTTGAATTTCACTGATCTCATTTAGGCCTAGTTATTAATATGGTATTTTCTATATTTAGTACCTGTGTATTTTCTGCCTTGTAGTCTTATTTACAAGAGGCATTTGCTGTTTCCTATTTTATGGTATAATGGCATTTAGTTGTGGTGATGTGGTGAGACTCGTTAGCAGTAATATCAGCTATGGAACTCTAAATAGTTTGATATATATGACTAGACTGGAAAGCACTTATGCCAAGTCTCCAGATTTACACCTGTGCTATTGGCACTAATATGTTGCAACTTGTGTAAGAAAGAGAAGAACTCTGATTCATAACATCCTCTTTCTACAGGTGTAAACAACTCCTCCTACCTTGCGCCTCATGAATCAGGCCCATGATACCTGAGAAAATCCAGTTGTAACTTTTGAGTAGTTTCTTCAGTGCTCAGCTGTCCCTTGACAGCACCAAAAAAAAAAAAATGCCAGTCCTTTGGAGAAGCAGATTGTTTGGCCAGTATAGTGTGCATCTGACTTGACTTGTGGTTATCTTTGGGTTTTCCCTGAGCTTGTCTCTAGCAGGGGAAGACTGTTGTCATAAGGTAGTCTTGAATACCATTGACATTCCTCCTATATTAATATGTACCACATATAGTATATGCTAAAGAAGGGGCATCCTCCCTCCCCCAACAAATCAATATGCACAAGCACTGTCAATTTTTTCCCTCCACAATTGGACTATTTTATTGAATAAAACTGATACCATCACTGCACCTTCTCCCATTCCCCTCTTGTTCCTTCCCTGTGTATCCTGTTTGCCAAGTCTTAGGAGCCAGGGATTCCAGCTTCAACATGCACTCTCTCTCTGCCTAACAAGTCCCTGACCCTGTGTGCTTTATTTTTTTTCTTGTCAATAAAATTGAGAGTATTCTTTGCTACCTACCACATACTGTCTGGGCAGCACTGAAGATATTAAGTGCTCTCTCTGCCAGGTTTCTGAGGAGCTCTCTATCCAGCCTGCCTATTTTTATTCTTTTTTGTGCACTTTTTCAGACTCATTTGTGTACCTCTGTTAGCTTGAGGGTATAAATCTACCCTCTTGGATGGCTCAGTTCAGGGATGGGCAATTATTTTGGGCGGAGGCCCACTTATCAAGTTTAGGCAAGCTGTTGAGGGCCGCATCAGTAGCCCTGCCCCTTGACAGATGCCCTGCCCCCTGGTTGACATCTTGTAATCAGAAGTCACACCCCCAACCCCTGACCTTTGCCACCAACAGGCCCTTCCCTTGCCCCTAGAAATACTTGTTTCAGCAAGGGGTTTTGCCATCTTGGAACCAGAAAAATATCAAATTATATTCTAAAAAGCAAACATCTACAACATATTTTTTTAATCAAATTAATTAATTTTTGTCCTGATTTACATGTGTTTGTGTAGCGTACACAGAGCACAATAGCTGAAAATGAAGTCTTACTCTTGTATATTGTAGCGGGGGGGGCATGGGGGTAGGTATAGGTTTGTGGGGGGCTGTTGGTGTGTCTCTGTGGGATTTGGGGGAGGGTGTGGGGGTGTGAATGTGAAGTGAGGGAGCATGTAGGTATGTGGGCTGTGAGTGGGTATGGGGTTTGTGGGGGCAAAGGGTGGCTGGGGTGTGTGATGGGGTATGCGTCTGGGGGCCTGCATGTATGGCAGTGCAAGCGGGGGGGGCATGTGTATGGTGGGGTGTATATGTGAGACTCACTCTATGAACACACTTCCTCCCTCCCTCATTGCGCGCACACACAGCCTCTCCCTCCCTCCCTCATTGCACGTGTGCGCGCATGCGCGCACACACACACACACACTGTCTCCCTTGCTCCCTCATTGTGTGTGCCCATGTGTTTGCGTACACACACACACACACACACACACACAGTCTCTCCCTCCCTCCTTGCTCTCTCTGTCTCTCTCTCTCTCTCTCCCCCTCCCTCCCTCATTGCAGGGGCACATGTGTGCCTGCCCACACACACACACACATCCTTCTGCTCCTGGCCCTGGGGGACCAGCGTGGGCCCCATGCTCCCACAGTTTGGTGATGCAGCCAGGGGCCACGTGGTGCTGGAGCAGCTGGCTGGGATGCAGGGAAGTAGGGGAAGGCATGGCAGGGCT